GTATCCTTCTGAGTTTTGAGAGCAAAAGGTAAGAAAATTTATCTCATCCTTGATTCATCTTCCTATGGTCAGTAGTTTGTGTTAGATTCACTTAAGATATTTATTGTTAATCTGTTCAAAGCAACAGTGTCTGCAATTTGTAGTTTCTGTGTTCCTAAACTAGTTACATTCCGTTTCAGGAAAAAAGGAGTTATTCTTCGAAGTTCAAACACACTGGAAAGCCACCTTGCCTGAAGGTAAAAAAATACTTTTATCAGTTGTGGATCCAATTGGAAAACTTTGGGTATGGATGTGAACATGTCTGCTCAAGCCACTTTATCATTCCATTCAGAGGAGTAATAATTTATCCCTGACATAGCTAGGTGGGATAGTAGTAGTCAAGTGGATGAAGGGTAGACCAACTCTACAATATAACAAGAGATAATCAACATGTATTTGTCTACTACTGGGATCACCACTCAGCCCTTCAATAACTACTAGGCACTAGGGAGCTCCCTTGATAATTTTTGCTGGTAGTGGTTTTCCAGGTTTTCAATACAACTCAGAAATAAATATCTCATGAGTCTAACAGTCACCAAGTATATTCTACCTAGATCTTAAGACGGACACAAAGTCCAAATATCAATTGCCAAATCTTCTCATTTTGTTCCTTTCCCAGTTGTTGGTTTCGGTTTTACGCTTTGGTCCACTTCCAGAGCTACCAACTATGCCATCAGTGTTGAAGCAAACAACTGCTCTCTGTAAATAAAAATATTTTATAAATGAGCACTCCTCCCCTGAACATTTGCTTCATGATCTATAAGGCTAGATCAAACTGTATATATATTGCAAACAGCAAGGTATGTGTTTTACCTCAATGCTTGCTTTTTGACCTTGTAAATTGCCTATTCAAAACAACATGGGATGTGAGTATGTGACTCAACATGTATAATTTTCAAGAAAAAGAAGAAGTCAATTATAGTCGAAATTTTCTCACCAGAGCATTTAGGCAACATTTTCTAACTAGAGCCAGTATCCATTCTGGTTTGCATACTAGGATGAGACTTATTTTTGGACATGATGATCTGGTAAAGCGTTCCTGCATCAGTTTCTTCAAGATTTTTAAGGTGTTAGACACAGTTCTTTTGCAAATAATATACATTTAAGCATTGAGAGAGAGAAAAACCAGTGAATCAACATACCCAAGAGTGATTCAATCGCGGCTTGAGCAACTACTTGCTTTGCCATTTGCTTGCTCCCAGCTAACTCACCTTTGTAACTTTTCGCCTCCCAACACCAAGTGACAAATATAAACTGAGCTTGGCCTTTCTGTATATCTAGTGTTATATATAGGCCTATCCAGATTCCTCTTGACTGCAAATTCATAGAGAATGGATTTGCACAACATAGGATCCGTCAACACACAAAAACAGAAGTTCAGATAAGTATTTTGAGCAACCGAACATCTAGCCTTTTAGGAAGAAGCAACAAGTGAATATCACCTTGTAAATAAATGAAATATCTCTAGCATCAATTTCGTTGTGAATGCATTCATAAGCTATTTTTGCTACTGCCTGCTCTGCTTCTTTCTTCGTGGGATATGTTGACTTGGATTGATATTCAGATCCATCAACCAAAACCTTTGCTCTGAACTTTGGGGCATGTGGAAAACCTTCATTTACTGTTTGATAAATTGGAAGTTGTTTGACATTTTTTTGTGTGTACTCTTGCAGTTGATTCTTGTACATTACTTGTGCCGGAGGAACTGCAAATAAATTATACCATAAATAATATTAGTTGAAAGCATCAAAATACATTAAAACATGAATTAAGCAAGAAAATAATGGTGAGTGAGAAGGTTGAAATGAGAGATGCATACTGGAAGTAAATTTGGGGAACTCCATATTTGCTGAAGATGCATTTCTTTGAGAAACTAAAATTGGAGTCTTGAAGAATATTAACCCTTTATCATGGCTTTGTACAACTCTTACTTTGCATGAGAACTGCAAAGGAGAATCATTTTGTACAATAACACTACTTTTTTTTTTCTCTTCATGAATGTACATTGTCAGATTTAGATATCATATCAGCATAACATATAATAGAAAGTAAATTGTTTTATTTGCAAAATTGCATATTCCATATTTTAAAGAATTGTATCTACAAATATCTCATTTGAATGTTCAGATAGTATAAAAAACCTATATATTGATATTGTACAAAAAATATTCAATGAATAAATGTGCTTTACGCTCGCAAGGGCAAATTGAGTGGTTGAGAAGCGGATCGCCCATGTGGGAGACCTAGGATATCCATCCTCGTCGATGGGGCTTGCAGTTTTTATCTCATTTGTAGTTTGCGAGTTGTTACACAGTAATTAGGTTACCACAAAGTATTCACTACAGAGTGCTCATCCGTAGAGTAGAGGTTGTTGGTTTACTTGAGGGTTCTAAAAAAAAAAGTGTTTTATCGTAATGGCAAGTTCTAAAATGGAATCAACTTGCTTTTGCATTTTTTCCCCATTTTGCAGTAGTAGTTGTACACTTGGACTCCCATTTTAGAAAAAGAGTACAATATTCGAGCGTTTGATAGTGACAATATCCAAAAATGCACCAAATGCATGCATAGTTCAAATACAATATTTTTTTTTTTACCTAAAGGGAAGGTTAAATGTATTTTGTTAAATATCACAAAATTAAAATAAATTATTGCTAATAATTGCAAAACTAAAATTATTATCCTTAGAGAGGAATATTTAAATAGATAAGATTAGAATAACACTCTTGGTTAAAGGAGGAGCGCCGTGCTTATAATTTTTTTCCCATTTTATAAATAAGAAGTGTGTTGAACGTGCAAAGACGATGACAACAAATAAACAACATATCTAGTGAAATCCCACTAAGTGGGGTTTGGATTGGGTAGAGTACTGTAAACAAACCTTATCACTATCTCGTGAAGATAGAGAGGTTGTTTTCGAAAAATACTCGGCTCGAGTGTAGCAAATCCAAACACAAAAGAAGAGAGCAATATAGAAAAGTTATTAGCAGTATATAAAAAATACTATAACATTCAATTCAAACAAAACTGAGTCAAATCTTTCAAAGTAGTTCATGATCCCACTAAACTTGACAAGCATCATGTATATTTCTATGAAGATATTAAGACAGACATTTAAATTTCAAGTATCAGTTGTCAAATCTTCTCTTTTTGTTCCTTCTTTCGTTGTTGGTGTTGGCGTCGACGTTACACGTGTGTCGACTTGAACTTTCAAATAGGCTCTTAGTTGAATTTGTCTCATCATCACTTTTTAATTCTCACTTGAATTATTTATAATATGTTGTTGTTGTTTTTATAATAGTAGAATGGTATATGCATGGGGTGGAAATGTGGAACGGGACTATGAAAATTAGGTGTAATGGGAGACAATATATTTTATATATGCATAAAATTAAAATTTGATTTGCTTGCTTAATTCATGTTTTTAATGTTTTTTTGTGTGTATTGAGTTCATTATTATAGTATAACCAACTTCTTTTCAGTTGCTACAATATACAAAAAACAATTACAAGAGTACACATAAAAAGTTGGGAAAAGACTCCTAATTTATCAATCTTTTAATGAGGATTCTGAAAACTTTCCAAAATATAGAGCTAAAGTGTTGATAGATGATGTTGAATACAAATCCAAGTTGACAAATTCAACAAAAAATCAAGCTGAGTAGGAAGTTAGAAAAGTTGCTTGTGAATCCATTATTCATCAAGAAACTGAAGTTGAAACTTTTTAGTTTCTTTACGAGGTACTCATTCTACACTTGTTGCACCTTTCTAATAGTGCGCTAAAGATTCATTTTTGCTCAAAATTTTACTATTTTTTTGTGTGTGTTTTTTTAAAAGGACCCTATGTTGTGGAAATACATTCTAAATGAATTTGCCTTCAAGAAGAAAATGAAGCCTAAATATAATATGAGATGTCATGCAAAAGGGTAAAGTTTAGTTTTTATTTGCCACCTTGCTTTTGGTGGTAAAACATATATAGGTGGAGAAGCTGGGAATAAGAAAATGGCTGAGCGTTTAGCTACTCGAACCGCAATTGAATCGCTATTGTGTGTTTATTTATTTTTTATTTTATTTCAATGCTTAAATGAATATATATTATGCGTAAAAGAACGTTAGTCTAACCCCTTAAAAATCTCAAAGAAATGAATAAAGATACTCTTTCATCAATAATCATGTCCAAAGTTAACTCTGATGATCACTTGCCTAAATGCTTAGGTGAGAATTGAGATTATCATGATTATAATTGATTATTTTCAAAAATTACATATACTTGTTGAGTCACATTTCATGCATGTTTTTTTTAAAAAGGTAGTTTAGCCTCCTGACAACAATGTCAAATAGTAACAATATTAAAAAAAAATACACTAAATGCATGCATAGTTAAAACACAATATATATTATTTTTTACCTAAAGGGAAGGTTAAATGTATTTGGCCAAATATCACAAACACTAAAATTAATTATTATTAATAATTGCAAAATGAAAATATTATCCTTAAATAATTAACTAAAGAGGAATATAAAATAAATAAGATTAGAATAGCTTTCTTGGTTAAAGGAGGAGCTTTGTGCAGCGATGTACTTATTTTATTTTTTCCATTTTATAACTACGAAGATTGTTGAACATGCGAAGACGATGACAACTACAACAATAAGTCAATAACATGCCCAATAAAATCCCACTACGTGGACTTTGAGATGAGCAAAGTGTAAACATACATTATCACTATCTCGTGAAGATAGAGATGTTGCTTATGAAAAATACTCGGTTCGAGTATAGCAAATCCAAACACAATAAAGAGAACAATATAGAATTTTTTTTAGCCGTATATCAAAATACTATAAGTTCCAATTCACACAAAGCTGAGTCAAATCTTGCAAAATGAGTTCACGATCCCACTAAACTTGACAAGTATTATGTATGTTTCTATCGAGATATTAAGACAAACATTTAAATTCTAAGTATCAGTTGCCAAATCTTCTCTTTTTGTTCCTTCCTTCATTGTTTATGTTGGCGTTACGCTTATGTCGACTTGAACTTTCACCTTGTAAATTGCCTATTCAAAACAACAATATGCATGAAATGTGACTCAACAAGTATATATAATTATAAAAAAAAGATAATCAATTATAATTGCGATTATCTCAATTCTCACCTGAGCATTTAGGCAAATAATCATCAGAATTAACTTTGGACATGATTATTGGTGAAAGAGTATCTGCATTTGTTTCTTTGAGATTTTCAAAGGGTTAGACAAATGCTCGTTTGCACATAATATATATTCATATAAGGGTTGAGATAACATAAAACAATCAATAAATATTTACCCAATAGTGATTCGATGGCGGTTCGAGCAGCTAAATGCTCTGCCAATTTCTTATTTCCAGCTTCTTCACCTATATAAGTTTTACCACCAAAAGTAAGGTGGCAAATGAAAGCTGGACTTTTCCCTTTTGCCTGAGATCCCATATTATATGTAGGCTTCATTTTCTTCTTGATGGCAAATTCGTTTAGAATGGATTTGCACAAGGTGGGGTCCTTTAAAAAGATAAAACACAAAAAAGTAGTAAGGTTTGAGCAAAAACGAATTTTTAGTGCACTATTTAGAAAGGTGTAAGCAAGTATAGAGTGAGTACCTTGTAAAGAAACGGAAAAGATACTACTTCAGTTTCTTCATGAAAAATGGATTCATAAGCAATTTTTGCAACTTCCTGCTCAGCTTGTTTTTTTGTTGAATGTGTCAACTTGGATGTGTATTCAACACCATCCACCAACACTTTAGCTCTATGCCTCGGGAAGTTTTCAGAACCTTCATTAAAAGATTGGTAAATTGGGAGTCTTTTCCCAACTTTTTGTGTGTACTCTTGTAGTTGATTTTTGTATATCGTTGCAACTGAAAAGAATTTGACTATATTATTATACTAAAATAATGAACTCAATACAAAAAAAGAGTAAAACATGAATTAAGTAAGCAAGTTAGATTTCAACTTTATTTGTATGTATTATATGTTGACTCCCATTACACCTAATTTTCATAGCCCCATTCCACATTCCCACCCCATGCACATATCATACTACCACTATAACAACACAACATATTATAAATAATTCAAGTCAGAATTAGAGAGTAAAGATGAGATAAATTCCAACTAAGAGCCTATTTGACATTGTTGTCAGGAGGCTAAAAATACTTATTTTTGTAAAGGATAAATGTACTTTGGCTCTAACTAGGATAGATAATTAAAAGTATTATATATATATATATATATATCCTTTCTCTCTATGTATTCTCGTATTGTTAGGAGACTTGTCTCATCATGAACCTTAGTTCCACCTATTTGACTGCAAATCCAATCCTCCACTTACGCACAAAGCACATAAAAATAGATTTTGATTTTTGTCTTAAGAAGGTTTGAGACAAGGTTCTTATAATTTAGTATATCAGCTCTCATGATCAGGTAGCTTATGTCCTCACTAAAGCTCTGCCGAAACATGCTATCAGATGTTGAGAAGCAAGTTGATAGTGTTCTCACATTCTGCTCAACTTGAGAGGGCATATAAAGGATAATTGTACTTTGACTCTAATTAGGATAGATAACTAAAAGTATTATATATCTATGTATCTTTTCTCTTTGTATATTCTAGTAGTGTTAGGTTACTCAACTCCTCAAGAACCTCTTGTATAAATATTGATTTTTATCTTTAATGAGAAACAGAGAAGAAACGTGTATTCAATTTTAAAAAAATAGTATTGTTTTTGAAAAATCAATTTATTTTGGTCAATTTATCTATGTATCACCAAAAAAATAAATTGAAATCCTACTTTTTGAAATATTTGAGATTTTAAATTTAAATTAATATTTTATTATCATTTCATATTTTTCTAAACAAAATGATTTCAATTTTGAGCTTCAAATTCTATAACCAACACCTACTAATTTGGATTATGTGATTTGGTGTCGTTAGCAATTCATTCTCATTTAATAGAGTCAACAAATAATTCATTTTATCAGATTCAATTATTTTTGCATTTAAATCACATTTAATTGTTAGATTCATTAATTGTTAAAGTCCATTTTTTCAAAGTATTATCCATCTTTTTTCTCCCATTCTTGAATTGATGCAATCAACTATATCTATGTATCAAAAAAATTATATTTGTATATATAAAATAGAATAATACATTTATTATCAAGCAGTATTTTCTTCAATTGATATATATTTATATGATCAATTTATTTATGTATCACAAAAAAAAAAAGTTTTATTTGTGTGCAGAAAAAAATGATATAACTATCGCTAAACTCTTCTATGAATTAAAAAATAATTATATAACTATTAACAGGAAAAATTATATATGTGCATTATTTTAGAGATGATACGATATTCAACACTATATTAATGTGTTTTTCATTTGAGTATCACAAAAAAGTGATACATATTGTATCACTATACTTCTTTAAGGATGATACAATATGTATTTGTGTATGTATTATTTAGTTTCAAAGCTAATATGTGTATTTATGTGTGAGATTGCGAGAGACAGGAGAGCGGCGAGCGAGATTGAATCATGTGTATATGTGTATTTCAATTTCAATTTAGATACAAGTTATATCTAAGATACGATTTTCTCACCTTTCTTCTATATATCTCTCGATCTCACTTGTCTCTCATCTTTAACTCCCTCAATCTCGCACACATTCGTTCTCTCTAAAACAATTGCTATGAATTATGATTAGACACACTATATCCATTATGTATAACTATGATCTCAACTATAGATTTACGAACATTCCTTAAAATTTACCATCATCACATAAAAAACAATTCATTCATGTGCATTCAATAACACATAGGTTTTAAATTGCATTCAATTTTTCTTTTTTCTTACTTTATTAGAAGAGGATATATTTATCAAAACAAAATACTACCAAATTTGTAAAAAAATTATATGAAGTAAGTATTAAATTAATTAAAAACACAACTACAATCAGATAGATAAAAAATACATGTGATGTAATGAAATACACGAAAAATTGTGCAAACCTTTATTCTCCATAGAAATGTTTAACTTGTGACGGAGTTGGTTGCGTTTTTCTCTCCTTTAGCTTGTAACGGCGGATATCTTATAAAAAATGTCTTGTGTTAAATCAAGAGAGAAAACCTAGATTGCATTTATATGTGTATAAGCGTTAGCCTAGTGAGTCTGATCCTTGTTATAGGCTTATTAGTCTCCAATGGGCCTATATTATTGTAAGCTCTCACCTATCTGAGAAATAGCACAGGCCCATTAAAGAATCCAACATATACTATGTGATATGTGTCTTGCCCGTCGACTATTAAAATTTAGCACATTTTTAAAAGAGCAACTCTCACATATAACAAACACAAAATTCATATTTGTATGCTATAACAAACTTTGCATAATTGCGCTCTATAGCAAACATAAATATATATATATATATATTTCTCTATACATATACAAAAGAAAGCAGTTGTATAATCTGTTTTGGTATACATATACAAAAAGATCAATTGTATAAAGTGAGAGAGACGAGTTAGCGAGCGAGATCTGGGAGAGTGGCGAGTGAGATCTAGGAGAGGGGAGAGAGGAGAACGAAAATATATGTATATATACAATTTTCACGCATTTTATACATTTGCGTTTTTGTATAAAGTGAGAGAGGGAAGTGAGAGAGCGAGATCTGGGAGAGTGGCGAGCGAGATCTAGGAGAGGGGAGAGAGAGGAACGAAAATATATGTATATATACAATTTTCTCTCGCTTTATACAAACACAAACACATTTTATACAATTTGCGGTTTTTGTATAAAGTGAGAGAGTCGAGTGAGAGAGAGAGATCTGGGAGAGTGGCGAGCGAGATCTGGAAGAAGGGAGAGAGGGGAACGAAAATATATGTATATATACAATTTTCTCTCGCTTTATACAAACACAAACGCACTTTATACACTTGCGTTTGTATAAAAAATGAGAGAGGCGAGGGAGAGAACGAGAGTGGCGAGCGAGATTCACCAGGAGAGAGGTTAAATAGCAATAGTATGCTATGGGGTACAATTAAATCAAACTATATTTATAACATTTAATTTGAATTAATAGTTTGCTATTATATACAATTTTCCCTTTTTAAAATATAAAAGAATAAATTAATGTTAAGTTCACATTAATAAAATAATTTAAAAATTATGCAGAATAGAAAATATTTAGCCTATATTAGGTATTATAGCTACAATTTAAGAAAATTGTAAATCGTGGCTACAATTTTCCTAATTTTTGCTATTCACCTGATTTGTATAATTCGTCTGATTTGCATAAATTCAGAATTTTTATAATTCGGTTTCTGATTGTATAAATTTAGAATTTCGTATATGCTTACTCTAGCTATTTGTATATGATTTATGAAACATTCATTAAAATTACCTTGTTTATATATTAGCAAGTGAAATAAAAAAATGGAGTTCTAAAAAATTCCTAAATTTATAAATACAGAAATTGTATATACTTACCCTATTTGTATATCCACAAGCAAAATATACAAACCGCAACCTCCGTAGCAAATATAACTATAACTATGAAGCGCAATTATCGAAACTATGCTATAAAACTTTATTATGTCTATTATGTTTGCTATTTCTAAAATTTTCTCAAATGGGAAAATTGTGCGTTATAACAAACTATTAATTCAAAATAAATGTTATAGCTATAGTTTAATTTAATTCAAATTCGCAACAAACTTCTTGCCATTCACCTCTCTTTGGAATCTCGTTTGTCACTCTCCTTCTTTTTCTGCCCTCTTTCGCTCGCCTCTCTCACTTTATACGAACATTGTATTTTTTATAATTTGTGTTTGTGTGTGTATAAAGCGAGAGAAACTGTATATACAAATACCAAGACATATCTCTCCGTCCTATACACTTATAATTATACAAATACAAATATTCCCCTGCTCAATTCTCGTTTGCCTTTCTCTCTCCCTCAGTTTATATACAAACATAAATTATACAAAATATAATGTATAATTTGTGTTTGTATAAAGCGAGAGATAGATCTGATATACAAATACAAATATTTTAACTCGATTCAATTGTATATGAATTCAAATTTTCTGCAGATATACAAACACAATCATTGATACTTATACATAATAGTTACATATATAAAATTATCTAACCGATACAATTTGGCTATGGAGTGCAAATAGCAAAACTGTAGTTATAGAAAGCTAATATGATTTTTATGTTTATTATTCCTGAAATTTAGTTATTTAAATTTTATTATATCGTATCGTCTATAGATGTAACGATGAAAAGTTTAACAAAAAATTTTAAAAGGTAAATGCAGATTAATTGGCAGGCCTGTTTCGACATGTACGTTCGGGTCCATGTCCATTCATCGTTAGGCCCAAACTTTGTTCAATTAGTAATTGTTAGTTAAGTCCACGTGAGTTGATATAAATGTTAAATCAGGAGTTGGGTACAAGAAAATTCACAAAACTATAAAAGAAAGAAGATAAATTTTGCAATAACAAAATAAATAATTTTATTAAATTTTCAATATTTGAATGATTATTTAAACAATGAACATCTTAAAGTTGTTTGCTGCAAAATTCTAACTCAGATCAAGAAAAACAGCCAGCAGATTCTGTTACCACCTTATAGGTTTAAAGGATGATTAAAATATAATAGGCAGGTAAGAACTAACACCTTTATAATATATACATTAATTCTTTGACGGTGATCATGATTTTGATTGTACATTACGTTTTTTTTTTGTTTATTTCCTTTTGCATCCTATAATTGATTATTGAAGGGTTATAGGTATGGTAACATAAATATATTGATACGTTAAGAGTCTTTGAACAAAATCATCCTTATTTTTTTCACCATAACTTAAATAATATTCTCATAATATTTCACTTGACTAGAAACATCCTTCAATTTTTCGAACGTTAAACCTAAATTTTTATAAAAGGTTGTCATCCTATTGGAGAAGATAGGTGAAATATTACTAGAAAGTGCATGTTTTTAGTTAATTTACATACTCTATTTGTTGTTGCTGTTGACCTTTTAAATTTTCCAAGTGATTTTATAACAACTTTAGTTGAAAAGTTCCTTTCAATGCTGAAAATCATGACAAGAAATTGATACTCAATGAAACACAAACATCACCTAAATATTATAAAAAATTAACCAAATGATTGTCTTACCTGTAACCAACATTTGCCTTTTTCCAATTCATGCAAACAATATAATCATTATTCACTCACTAAGCAAGCTACTTCTTCAAGTATAAGTGGACATGAGAAGTGGTGTTTAAATAATCACTTTCTTGTTGACAAATTAAGTGTAGACATTATTAGTTTTTTGTCACAAAAAAAATGTATAATCCCATATTGGCAAAGAGTTTTAGTCACTATGAAAGAAAAACATTTGGATGGTGTGCTTTTGTTGTTATGTTAATTGTTGTGTTTAGCAGTTGCATGGTTTTCAAGAATCATTTGTATCCTCAATCAGTTAGTAAGTCTTTTGCACTTAATAATGTTTTAATATAACCATTATATTAATCTTTGTTAAGCTGATTTTTAATCTTGTTTGTAGATGGTGATGCCATGAATTTACAATTATCTATCAAGGCTAGTGCTGAAGATATGTTTGTGATCAAGGATACAACATTTCTCAATAAATTAGGTAAGTCAACATTCGAAATTTAAGAAAAGTAAACATTTGATAATAGATTTGGTTGAAACTTGAAAAAAAAAACAGAACTTTATAGAAGTTCGAAGTCGTGTCTTGACATATGTATTGTACTTGAAAAAAAGTTTTATGAGAGGGAAAAATTGATTTGCATCTTCAAAAACTAACAAAAAAATCAGTTCAATATGTTGACACTAAGATGAAATTATTTTGCAGAAACAGAGAAAAAGGATGCAGAGCCAATGTGTAATGTGTTAGAACCATTGTCTGATTACTGTGAGACCAAAGGGGACATAAGGGTCCAAGGAAATTCATCGACAATTTTCGTCGTTTCATCTCATGATTTCAACGTTTCTGCTGAGAACAATTCATGGATCATACAACCATATCCAAGAAAAGGTAATGCAGGGGCAATGTCAAGTGTTAAATCATGGACAGTAAAATTAGTACAAAACGGCGAAAAAATCCCAAAATGCAGTGTATATCATGGCTATCCAGCAGTTTTATTTTCACTTGGAGGATATTCAGGAAATCATTTTCATGATTTCTCAGATTTACTCGTCCCAATCTTTTCAAATTCGCGTTATTTTAATTCAGAGGTGCACTTTCTTGCCACGGATTATAAGTCATGGTGGATAGGTAAGTACAGGACGTTGCTCAACAACATGTCTAAGAACAAAATTCTTGACATTGACAATGAAAACGAGGTACAGTGTTTTCCTAGTGTGACAACAGGCCTTAAATCACATAAAGAATTCGGTATTGACTCCTCAAAGTTCCCAAATAGGGTGTCTATGCGCGATTTCAGACAGTTCTTGAGGAGCTCATTGTCACTAAACAGAGTTGAGTCTATCAAAATAAATGATGATATTGTTACGAGGCCACGATTGTTGATCATGTCAAGGAAGAAATCGCGAATTTTATTAAATGAGGACGATGTTAGACAAATGGCTGAAGACATTGGGTACGAGGTTGTCCTGGCTGAGGCTAACCTTAGTACAAATTTGACGAAATTCGCGCAAATTGTTAATTCTTGTGATGTGATAATGGGAGTTCATGGAGCTGGATTAACCAACATGGTTTTTCTCCCTAATAATGCAGTTTTAATTCAGTTAGTTCCTTTAGGAACAATGGATTATTTGGCTAAACGTGATTTTGGAGATCCTGCTGGAGAAATGAACATAAAATACTTAGATTATAAAATTGGTGTGAATGAGAGTTCTTTAGTGGAACAATATCCACTTAATCATAAAGTGTTTAAAGATCCATCATCATTTTTTAGGAAAGGATGGGGTGTATTTAGAGCAATTTATTTAGATAAACAGAATGTAAAAGTTGATCTTTATAAGTTTAGGTCTACTTTGTTAGAAGCTAAAAGGCTTTTAGCCACTTCTTGATTAATTTTGTGCACTATATTGTATATGTTTCATGTTTAGTTCATTATGTAATGACATTTTTATGTACTACTCGAGTGATTCCATTTTCATTGATGAACAATTGTGCAATGTTATAATAGATGGATTTAAGTTATAGATATTGACATATATTCTTATAATATTCTAAGTAAATCTCAATTTGTGGTATTTGTTAGACATTTTATACTATTTACAGCATGTCTATATATATATATATAGACGCAAAATAACAATGGAAAGAAGGTTGAATATACCTCTTGCCATGGTTTCGAAATCGTTTTAGGTGTTAGTATTTTAGTTTGCGGGTCTTTTAAGTACTCAAGAACCTCACTCTAAATAGTATGGAATTCAAAAGGAGTTATTTTTGTGTCGTGGGATCTTGAACTGTATATGTTATTTATATAAAGGTAAAGGGTCAAACCTTCTTCTGAATTATGCTAAATGAAAAGATTTGCTCTTGTTAATAGTTGGGGTCAAATATTTCTTAATTGCGTGACATGTGGTATCATGGGGTGTTAAACTTTCACCGCTAAAAAATAAAGGCAAATTGTTCCATTTCGCATAATTCAAAAATAATTTTGACAAATATTTTTTATATATGGCATATAATTTGAATCGTAATAGATATGATGACAAATATATATTTATATATATATATATAGGTAGAATAAAAGAACAAATAATTAAATTATTTGATATTCAAATTTTCTGGTGCTTATACATGCCACTGCGACCTAACATTGACTTGTGCTCTGATCAATTAGCACGACTGTTTTTAATATTAAAGATTTTATAAATGTTCATAAGGAAAGAAACAATGGAATATTCTGGTAAAATTGATGTTGTTTGGATATTTATTTTGCTTCAAATAAATTAAAGTTGAATTTTATTTTCATCACCACACTTGTCTATAGTCTAGAGGATTCAAAATTTCCTCCCAAACGTGCCTCCCACTATATTTGAGGGATATTGGTAAAATGTCCTACTCTTAAACCAAACAATTTTCTTGGACCATTCAGCGTAAGTTTTCAATTTTTCCTTTCTATTTTCCCCTCTTTTTTTTCTTTCCCTTTGGGAGTGTCAAGAATATATATACCAAAGTTAATACTATTTAATTTCATTTTCTTTTTGTAAGATAGCAAAAGTCAATTCAATATCAATAGAAATTAAGTAAATACAACTCTTAGAAAATTTCAACTTTGTGGGGTTTGAAATTTTAGAAGGATGACTTTAAATTTAACATGTCAACATATTTGATGAATATTTTAATATAAATATTTATTTTGCGAATTTATTCAACTGAATCTGTATTTGAACTTCTACCTCTATCACTCATATATTTCTCAAACTTACAAGTAGAACGTCAAATTATTGCCACCTAATTAATATGACCAAAGGCGAATCTAGGATTTTTCGAACATGGGTGCACCAAGTAAAATGTATTGAAGTGAGAATTGATCCTTAATTCTCAAGCTCAAAAGCTCAACATTTAACCATGTGGACCATTTAGACTTCTTGTAGTACGGGTGCAAGAATATAATATTATACAAAATCTTAAAAAATATACATATAAAATATCCAATTTTACGAAGAGACCACGGGTGCGGATGCCCTATTTTTTGGCTGTAAATTCGCCACTGATTATATGACTATAACTAACAATATTTTAAACCGTCGTTTAATATTTTCTGATAAAATTTTCGATACATACCCACCGTATCCAATGTACTCAACTGAGACAAACTCATCCGGCTGACAACCGACATTTGGATTAACAACACGCTTCTCGTAGTGGTTCGTATTGGTATCTCACTGAATAATCATTTGAAATGGATTTAAAGATATCATAATTATAAGATTTTGATTAAATAATACTATTATTATATGGAAAAATCACAATCTCTTGAGAAAACATATGTATATGAATTATGGTAACAATAAAGTAATTTCACTTTCTTTTTTTCTTTTTGACCAAGTAGATGAGATTTGACTCATTTACATTCATCTATTGCAAACTCCTCTCATCAAATTTCTAGTCAGAGGGGAAGTTAATCGTTATTATATATGGAGTATGTATGTGTGTATATATATATATATATATATGATAATATCTTTTTTTTTTTCAAACACATTGTTGTCTTTATATGGTGAAAATCATTGGTTAAAATTTAATAATTGTAAAATCGATTGAAATCTCTATTTTTATTACATGACATCAAACTAGTACAGACTGTCAAGAACGATTGCTTCCACCCCTGAACTTCTTCAATCTCCTTGACACTTTAATATCAAAGGAACTCCCCATCCCCACTCATCCAATAGTTGATAAAATCGATTGAAATACATACTATCACTATGCCATCAAGTTAGTACAGACGAGCAACAAAGAGTCAATTGAATGATCAAAGCATCGATTGCTTCCACCCCTAACCTTCTTCAATTCCCTTGACACCTTAATATCAATGAACTCCCCACTCCCACCCACCCTATTCTAGAAGTAGATGATGAAAAAAGAATCAAATAACGATAAAAATAACTATTATTTCGGGAAGGTTATTTGAAATTGGAGAGATTTTTTTTATTTCCACTAATCACTCAATTGTCGTTGTATTACATTACATATACAAAGTATTATAGGGAAATTAATTATGAAAAAAAAAGTAAAGGGAAATTAAAAAATTCAGGAAAAGAAAAACAATAATTAACGTAACACTTTTCACACTTAAGCAACCATTAATTAATGAAATCCACTAGTTCACACTAAAGCTTTACTTAATTAATAATCAATAAAAAGAAATAAATTTAACTCCAGTAATGCAAATAATGACCCAAATTAGTATATTGCATTAAAACCCCATTCCATTTAAGCAAACTTAATAAGGTCTTGCTATCTATATTTTATTGAACAAGTTATTTCTATCCATATAAGTATTTTCTATATGCACGTCTAATTAGTTCCCACCTAAATTCATAATCTTAGTATTTATCATAAAGAAAAAATCAACAAAATCTTAATTATATTTACTTATTGAGTATGTTTGGTAATTAAGGTGCCGGCCATCCTAAATCCTTTTTTTAGACATGGACTCAATTTTGGAAAAAACACATTTATTTTATAGTCAACTTTGTTACATCTTTCAAACGAGAAACAACATAAATTTTTTAATTTTCAAAAATGTCCTAAAATACGTGGAGAGCATTCACTAAAATTATATTATATAAGAGAAAAAAAGAGTTTCATGCTAGTCACTTTGATAATATATGACCTCTATACATCTTGAGAATTGCAAATACTAGCATTTTCTCACTTCTTTAATTAAGTTAGTTTGAGAGATTTCAAAAAAAAAAATCTTCTTTTTTTGTAGTTACATTATATTATTTATTTTTAGCAAAAATGAAGTATGATAGTTTCTTTGCCAGAAGTTTTAGTAAACATGAGCAAAAGAAATTAGGAATTGGAGCATTTGTTAGTTGTTTCATCTTAGCAGCCACATTTTGTTTTCTCTTCAAGCCTGAAATTCGTCATTTTCGAGTTGGTAAGTTTTATTGATTTTTTTTCTTTTTATACTATCAGTATATATAAAGTCTATATAAGTTTCGTTATTCTATATGACCTCTTGAATATCATGTTTAATGCTTCAATGCCCTAGTATGGATATAATATTTACGTTGTCAGTTTATATAAGTTAGATTTAAGTCGTTGAACATGAATATGTTTTTGTGTGGCAGTGAATGTTAAGGTTTCTCTTCGTGGTAGCCCGAAAATTCTAGCAATAACAGAGGAAGTCACCAAGCCAAAAAAACCATGTAAGTATTCATATTAATTAGCATAATTTTTTTTTTTTTGTAAATGAACTTAAATTGTCTAAGTACTTACCATACCTGTAATTTTTTCGATTTCAGATTTCGAAATTGAACAAGAGAAACAAATTTGTAATGTGTTACATCCAAGAGCTGATCTCTGTGAGATGAAAGGTGACATAAGAATACATGGAAATTCATCAACAATATTTTTTGTATCAATTGATGAAGAAAAAAACAACTCATGGAACATAAGACCATATGCAAGAAAAGGTGATGATAGAGCAATGGACAGTGTTACAAATTTAATAGTCAAAAAAGTTCATATTTCTCAACAAATCCCAATTTGCACTAGAAACTACACTGTCCCTGCAGTTGTTTTTTCAACTAAAGGGTATGCTGGAAATCACTTCCATGATTTCAGTGATGTGTTGATTCCATTATTTCAAACATCGCGACGTTTCAATGGTGAAGTTCAGTTTCTGATTACTAACAAAATGCCTTGGTGGATCAAGAAGTTCAAACCAGTGTTACAAAGATTGTCAAAATATGAGGCTATTGATATTGACAAGGAAAAAGATGTCCTTTGTTTCCCAAGTATGACAATTGGCTTAAAAGCCAATAAAGAATTCAGCATCAACACTTCAGAATCTTCTTATACTATGTTAGACTTCACAAAGTTCTTGAAAAGTACATACTCCTTGAAGAGGAAATTCGCGGTGAGATTGAAAAAGAATGCTGATGATGATCAAAGGAGGAAAAATAAGCCTAGACTTCTTATCATTTCAAGAAGCAGAACGAGACGTTTTACAAACATAGAAGCAATTGTTACATTGGCTAAAAGTTTGGGGTTCAAAGTAGGTGTGGAAGAAACAAGGGAAAATTTGGTTCAAGTTGCGAAAAAAGTGAACTCATTTGATGTACTAATGGGAGTTCATGGTGCTGGATTGACAAATATGGTTTTTTTGCCAGAAAATGCAAGTGTTATACAAATTGTGGGATTGGGAATGGAATGGGTATCTAAAGAAGATTTTGAAATTCCAGCTATGGATATGAATTTGAAGTATTTGGGTTATAAGATTAGTGTAAATGAGAGTTCTTTAATTCAACAATATCCACTTGAACATCATGTCTTAAAGGATCCTCCTGGTAATATGATTTCTCCTAAAGGATGGGCTTCATATAGGAAAGTTTATTTAGATGAACAAGATGTAAAAATTGATGTAAATAGATTTAGAGGAACTCTATTGAAAGCATTAGAGCTTTTGAGGAGTTGAGTTTTTTTTTTTCTTTTTGTTGGTATTTCTCTAATAAACAAAGGCACAAAGCCAGGATTAAATTTCATTTAATTTGTTCTTGTTTCACTTAACTTGGTTCTTTTCTTTATTTGGTTTAACTTAGATTGTCTAGTTAGTTCATTTTGTCTTCGTGCGTTTTTTTTTTACTAAATCCAGATGGCATGTTTTTGAAAGTCAATCTTGTAACCAATGTACGAAAGTCGTCTTTGTTAGGTAACACCTTTACACAACAAAGGTGTGAATCCAAATTTTATCAATAGTCGCCTTTGTTATGAAGACCCCAAATATGGGACTTCCAGGGAAAATCCAGATTTTGCCAAGCTCCAATGTATGTACCACTCAGCACGAATCTTTCGCACAAATCTGGATTACGTCAAGAGTCATCTTTGTTATCGTGCGAAAGGTGCAACTCCGAATTTTGTCAAGCTCTAATGCGTGTACCAAGACACCAAGGAATCTTAAAAAAAATAAAATGTCCTATGATACATAAACGAACTATCGCATATCGAAATTGTTACAAGGAGTGACTGGGGAACACTTACAAATAATCTGCACCCAAAATTCCAAATGAATATCTCAGAGAACTGGAAAGGCGCCAATTTTATGTAATCATTGTGAAAAATTTGAAGGAAAAATGCGTTCTTAGACTTACAAGTGTTTAATACATCATGATCATGATCATTCAAGACTCTAATACAACTTTGTATTTGGTGTACAACTCTCCATTTTCCTCCTACGGATCCTTTCTCACAAGTAATAATGAATCAGAAGCAAAATTCATACAAAGGTATAAAGATTAGTGTAATCCTAAGGCCGAGCTGACCGTTGAGGTCATTGCACATCTGCCCATCCAAACTAGGCGGCAGTCCACTTCTCAGTGAAAGAATTGATCGGCTGAGCCAAACTCTTGCTTGAGAATTTGACTAGCTTTTGGGACAGAATATAGACATCATGGCGACCAGAGTGTAGTGAACTTTAACCTAGGTCACCAAATAGGAAGATACCGCAATGATTAATTCCTCCCACAATGGCAATACTCAAATACAGTCGCTCCCTCGAGATTGTCTGCAACCCGCTTAAAAAATGAAGGTCCAATAAGACTCATTATATACAACATTCAAGCTGCATCTTCTTCGCCAAAAATCACTCATCATTTTTCAACCGAGAAAAATAATGCCAGCGAGAACCTCTTTATCCGCGGGACTGTTGGGTTAGCTACCCTAACTTATGCAACAATTACCTCCATTTTGTACTATGAAGTTGATTTTTACTCTTGCTTTTCTTCAGAAGTGCTGACATGTGTTCAACAACTTTAGAAGAGGATTGGGTCTCACCAGTCAACCACTGCAGAGCTTCGGCAGCTGCATCTTTTTCAGCTTCCTTCTTGCTACTGCTAGGCTGGCCAGCAAAATTTAACCCATTGAATATTACAGTGGCGCGGAACTTATTATTTTTTAGTTGTGTTATCTTATAACTGGGTGATTGGTGACCAGCCCGAGCAAGCAACGTTTGGAGATGAGACTTCGGATTCTCACCACCACTGCCCTTTGTTGAAATGACATTTTTCTGTAACTCCTTTGCAGACTTCTTGGGGGATGGTTTACGACCATAGACAAATTTACCTTCACATTGATCCTCTGACACCAGCAATTTAACAGCTTCTAATAGCTCACCATGACTTCCTACATCAAAATTACGGTCCGAGAGCTGGCAGAAAAAGCAAACATCAGTAGAGAAGAATTTGTCATATGCATCCACTAGTAATATTCTTTCCGAAGAATGCAAATGAAACGAGATATGTGTGGAATAGTTACAAATAATATCATCCATTCACAGTTGCTAGGAGCAACACCACAGAAATTGCAACTATGGAAAGCTCAAACGATGATAACACACACAAAGATGAAGGGATATACATACTTTCTTATGGACAAGTTCATTAAGCTCCCTCTTCAAGCTTATGTAGGTATTTGCCAGTGAGGGGTTCATGAAAAACTCCAAGTATCCTCCAAGCATCATCAAGTGTCCATCCTAACAAGAGAAAAAGGAGTTTTAAGGGCGCACCAAACACTAAATCATACAAATAATCATGGAGGATTCAAGAACATGCCAACGTGAACTCAGCAAAACAACAAAGAAATCAACCTTGTCCCTGCCGGCAGGGGAGTCGGGGTGGGAATAGGTAGAGTCAGAAGAAAGAAAAACTTACTAGAGCTTTTCCAGAAATGCTTCCGCCAAATAAGAGTACCACAGAATCAGATACAGCTGTAGAATCACGCAGGAATACTGAATTCACTTTAACTTTTTCGTTGAAGACAAGCCATGGGTATGGAATTTGAGGTTCTTGAGCGTTGACAGAATTCTAAGGGAAAAAAGGAAAAGCACTATTAAAAGAATGGAACTTTTCATCAAAAAAATATATGACGTGTCAAAATTTAAACAAAACTAATTATACAATGAAGCTTACAGAGTATAAAAGGACTCCACCATCCTCCATTGTTTTCAATGAGATTGACTTCTCCTTGTTCTGCCAGTCCAATATATGTTCAGTTAGCACACAGATAGAGAGAATGAAGGATTGCCATGAGATTTTTATCTACAAAGTAAAACCAATCTGACCTAGCTCAACACTAACCAACCTTTTACTGATAAAATAGCTAAGACGGAAGTGCAAAAATGCATGCAGTAAGAGAGCTAAAGAGTTTAGCAATCAGAATCATGCACAAGCCAACTTTCACTTCATGTAAATACCATATGAAGTGCTAACCTCGATGATCAAGAAATGGATTGTTAATCAAAATAGCACAACTCACCACAACAGAGCATATGCCAGGGAATAGTCCACCACATACAATCGCTCGAACCAGATGTTCATTATTACTCCAGGCATTACAACTCTGAATGCTATCAACTAAACCAATGTCCTTAAGCAGATACAAAAATTGCTTTCGAAGGGAGTCCATCGCTTTGAGAGTTTGCGCAGAAAGGAAATTTCTCCAACAGTAGTCATAACCAGATTGCTGCCTTTCAGCATCTTTCCAGCCGTCATAAGCCCGAACAAGAGCAAGGTGATCGCTGAAGTTACGAGCAGAAAACTGGGCTTTGGCAGACTCAGCAAGCTGCAAGAAGTGATAATTCAATACATGAAACATGGTCCTCAAGTAGAAGACACTAGAGTGAAATCAAGAATATAAGGTGACCAATTGCTAATTGAAAAGGTCTCAGTCCAAACATTTGTTCCCAAGCAAGTTACTTTAGAGACGATCACTATTCCCTTGCACTGATGCGGTAAAGAAAGGGGGTAAATTTACATTTTACAGTCCCCAAAACTAACTTGGAATAAAGGAAACTGAAGACCTGCCAAGCATTAACAGATATGTTTACAGAGCAACTTTCGAGATGCATGCACATAAAACATATTATATCTGTTGCTCATTAACACAGTGCACAGAGATTCCTTACTTAAAGAAAGAGATATATGTATCACCGAAAGAAAAATACAAAACAAGAACATATCTAGACATTATTTGAGTCACTTAAAGAAACAAGAACATGGTAAGATTATCCATCTTCATCCATAAATCAGAGAATATAACTTACATCCTTCTTGTCAAATGGCATTAAAAATGGATCTCTAGCACTTAAACCAGCAACAACTGTCAGAACTGGATCCAGGCAGTTGAATACTACACCTAATATTATCATTTTCCCCAGTTTTGGCTCAACTGGAAGCATTGATAGGTTGTGTCCTACAGGAAAATCCAGAAGTCAAGTTTTCTTTTACCAAAATGATGGTGAAAGAAGCCTATGGAAAATATGCTGGACGATTTATAAAATTAAGCTATGTTTTTACCAAGTACTGTCAGATTTTCATCCTCATCTAGAGCCCCTATTGTCTTCAAATACTCAATAGCATTTTGAACCTGCAAAACAATAATCGCAATTACATGTGAATCAAATTAACCACAATGCAAACAAGATATATGCCCATTAAACATAAAGTCAGGGAGCCAGAATTGTCATATGAAGAAGTATACTAGACATCTTAAATCCAGGTCTGGTTGAAAGGCAGATGTTACATATTCTTCACCTGATAGGATGCACATATCTTTACCCGTGTTTTCATGAACAGAATGTGAAAATTAATAGAGTTCAGTGGTTTACAAGTCTAAACACTGAGATGTGATGCCATATGTGCATATTAGGTTGTTTGGTGTCACTACCCATTCAAAGCATTGCAAATTTTGAAATGGAGTGCTTGCAAGTTCATCACTTTTAACAGCCCTCCTGATTATTTCCCTCCCCGGACGATTTAAACCATTTTACTTACCCTCATTCTCCACTTTCACTCTCACAAATTATCACACATTCACGAAGCTAGGTGAAAGAGTTGGTCCCAACTTACAGATAGTGGTTCTGGTGACTGGATTGCCTTGGATAGAAAGTCTGAAATACTTCCAAGTTGTAAGCTTTTAATCTGCAGGCATAGGGACTGTAAAGGTGTTCTCAGAAGCTCTGGCAATTGATAATCTGCAAAAGCTTCATATACACATCTGGGATAGAGATGATAACACTCGCCAGGTTGAACACGGCCAGCTCTTCCTTTTCTCTGGAAAGTTAAAAGGACATTCACTTATGATGTCGATTCCACAGCACTAACAAAATAGCTCAAAAACACTAAAAAGCTGGGGGTCGGAAGACCTATACCCCAAATTACATAATCATTTTACGTATTGCAAATGTTGAAGAAGCTAGATCATATCTATCTTACTTGCCGAGCAGAAGCTTTTGAAATCCAAGAAGGAAGCAAACAGGGAGTGTTGTTGATTGCATCATAAGATGTCTCTTTTGCCTTTCCACAGTCGACCACAAAAACCACGTCATTTATGGTGATACTTGTTTCAGCCATGTTGGTAGCTAACACAATTTTCCTGATTCCATCCTCTGGCTTATCAAAAATCAATTTCTGTTTGCAAGCG